TATCTATCTATCTATCTATCTATCTATCTATCTATCTATCTATCTATCTATCTATCTATCTGAAAAAGTAGGATCATTTTCCATGTTATATAGTAATGTTAATATTATTTTTAATATTTTCAATTTTGTAAGTGTCCATTCTGCAAAGTAGTTTTGCTGTATTTATTATGTTATATGAGAAAAGGAAAATGGTATGTATCTAGTTATTATTCACAATGTCATTGCTTAGGGCATCAGTGAGCCTTAATCTGCCACTGGGTGGACCTAATATTATCCCTACCCTGAAAATAAGCCCCAGGGATGGGCTTGACCAGCACGAGACTGCTGGCTCCTTGGGACAGCACAAATACCGCTTTTGCCCTTCTTTCTCTGGGCACAGCGCTTCTGCTTGTTGGGCCACTTCCCCAAAGCTGGCAGCTCCACGGCCAGTAGCTTTCTTTTTCCCTCTTTTTGGGAGGCTTTTTGGCGAATGGAAGGAAAATGGGGAGGGGGAATTTTCCTGCCTGTTATCTATTCCTCAAGCTCAGCACAGGCTGAGGGAAGGATGACAGGCAGAAAAATCCCCCCTCCCCGTTTCCTCCCCAACTGATAATTGTTTTAGATATTTGTCTGGTATGCAAAATGATGGAAAAACATGTTGATTTTCCACAGATTGGAGGTGAGATATCCAAGTGGTCATCTCTATGAAAAGAGCACAGGTTGGAGTAATTAAGTTTTCAAAGTTTGATTACTTTTGTAAAAAAAATCCTGTTGTCTTCAAACAGCTGTATTATTTTAAAAATTATGAAGAAAAATTCATTCTTGCTTTCCTTCATTCCCTTCCACCTTACTTTGCCTTATCTCAATCTAGTTGCTTTCTTCCTTCTTTCCTCTTTCCTTCCCAATGCAAACACATTTCTTCCAACTTCTTCTTTTGCTCTTGCTGGAAGAAGAGAGGAGTAGATATTCTCTGAGTTTGCATTCTTGAGTCTTCATATGTGATAATGATTTGTTTGTGAGCTAGCTTTACTACAGGCAAAGCTTGAGGCAAAAGACATAGGTCATTTAAGGCCCAACAGATTGTATTGCCTAATATTTTATTTAAGAATTTGCATTCCTAGGGATTAAAAGTGAAGCAATATTGTTGTATGTGTTATTGTCTATTTGTTCTCTAAAATCCTGATCTTGCAAGTGCTTTAATAAAAAAAAGTGACCCTGAAGAGGAGTGGTGGGAGCAACCAAGTAAGAATAAAGATGGGTTGTATTAACAAATGTTTAATATAGTAAATAAATGAAGTTAAAATATGTTGCTGCTAGCAATGACCATTCATATGCTTTTATCCAGAGAACAAAATCATTAGCATGCAAGGTAAACAGATTCTTACTTTAATATCTCATCATCACCAACCCCAAAGATAAATTATTCTGAAGCAATTAAACTCTTTTTTATACTATCTTTCTTTCTCTCTTTATTTCACTATCATACTTCTACTCCACCAGAATTTAAAAGAAAGGCCCTGCCACTTTCACAGTATAAATAATATACAGTAGTTAAAGCATTCGCAGTACAATCTAAAAACTTGAAAAACCCATAGCCATAAAGCAGAGACAAAAGCAATAAGCAATGTAAGCAAAACCACAATAATATCATAGGTATAAAAGCAAACATAATGCATTTTTCATATGATATACCCTACCAGGTCCATTCCAAAGATTTCTAAAGTTTAATGTAATAGAACATTTATCTACAAAGCTAAAATTCCTGTATTTGACCATTTCTTCCTCCTGGAAAGGAATTTTAACTATGATATCGTGATTTTTGCAAGTTCTTGGATGATATTTCGATAAACTGGAGCTTTGCCTCTTGTTTTTTAGCACCGAAAAAACATAAGCAGATGAAACCCATATAACCTTTTGGTTTTTTAAAATCAGAATAGGATTAAATTGCCAAGAACAATAGACAAGTGTGAAGAGGTAAGTTAATTTAAGTCTTTTTAAGTCTTTTTACAAGTAAAAAGACTATAAAAATATGTGTGAAATATATAAAGAGAGAGAGCATCCTTAAACCAACAACTGCCCCCTGGGCTGTGTATCACTATTGAATCCCTATGCTAGTTCTAGAAGATGAGTGGAAGCCAACCTCACCTCCAGGGATAAGATCAGTGGTGGGATTCAGCCAATTTGCATCGGTTCAGCTGAACCTGATGTTAATTTTTTGCGTAGTTTGGAGAACCGGTTGATCCCACCATAGGCTGGCCTTGCCCCACCCACCGGGGTTGACATTCAGGGTGGGGAGGCTGCAGGGTTATGACTGGGAGCCACGCTCATCAGCTGGGAGGTGGTGAATGGATGCCGATCAGCTGGGAGGCTTCCCCCCCGCCCGCCTGGGTGGCCTCCTACAAAAGAAGACCATGTGACTACCAGTTTAAAAAAAGTTCAGTCAGTGCTTTTAATCAAAAATAGTTCAGAAGCTCCAAAATCACCAATCCAAATAAGCTGTTTCTTTTAAGTACTTTCTCCTTCTTCACTTTCTCTTTCTGGGGTTAATGTTTAGTCACAAAGTTTCATTTGAAATATATCTTTTAGGAGTCTTATTGATGTTTAATAACTCTTTAAAATTCTAGGCAATCTTCTCCTTATTTTCAAATTCTGCTCCAATTTTTTTTCCCTCTCCCTTCCCACTCGCAGCAAAAAGTTTTGTTTTTTGTTTTTTAAAAAAAGTTCAGAAATCCTTATCCCTTCAGCATTTAATTACCTCCAATGCAGGTTTTCCGATTTCTCTTATAGTTCCATCCGCTGTCACATTGGGAAGGAGAAAGAAAGAAAGAAAAGAAAGAAAGGAAAGAAAGAAAAGAAAGAAAGAAAAGAAAAAAACTTTCCCTTTTAGAATTCCATTCGCCGCTTGCAACTCTCTCTGGAAACAATTTATCTTTGGCAGCTTTCAAATTCCAGGGTACTTTCTCTTACTTTGTCCTGGTCAAAAACCACTTTCACAGCTCTTCCGACTTTCTTCCTCCTGCACAATCTTGTCTGGCTGCAGGTTTCTTCGTGGTGGCCATTACTGACTGCCGCTCCTCTGCCTTGGGAAAAGGGGGTTTTGCCGGCTGGGGAGGGGGTCTGCGACACCCCCAAACCCCTATCCGGATCCCCCGTCTTCAGCTGCCTCTACGGGGCAGCTATATCCCCCAAATCCAAGCGGATCGGGGGAACCTTGGCAGCGAGCGCAGCAGGGATCGCGCGGTATCGCGAATCCCTGCCGCTGCCGAAGCCTTGCAAACCGGAAGTCAGGGGAGGCTGCAGGGTTATGACTGGGAGCCACGCTCATCAGCTGGGAGGCGGTGAATGGATGCCGATCAGCTGGGAGGCTTCCCCCCCGCCCGCCTGGGTGGCCTCCTACAAAAGAAGACCATGTGACTACCAGTTTAAAAAAAGTTCAGTCAGACCTTCCAACTTCGCAAGATCCCCCAAGAAGTCGGAAGGTCTGACTGAACTTTTTTAAAACTGGTAGTCACATGGTCTTCTTTTGTTGCACTGCACGCAGAACAGAGCTGGAAAGCAGGTTAGTGAGGGAATGGTGGTTGCTCTGGGATGATGTGGGAGTGAGGATTTTGCATTATGATGGCTGTCATGCCCCTAGTGGAGACTGACTCTGAGGAAGAGGAGGAACAGCCAACAGGGAGTGGAAATGTGGCTCCAGAGGTGGTGGAGGAGGCTGGGGAAGGGCAGAGGCCGGATGAGCAATCAGAGGAGGATCCAGGCTCATCCTCTATCCATCCTAGGTCACGCAAGGAGGAAAGGATCAGGGAAAAGCATGGTCTACTCAGGAGGAGAGAGCCATGATCCTCCTCATGGATTGCAGCTGTGAGCTCTGTATAAGAGTTTGGCTTTGTGTTCACAGCCGCTGTAGTCAAATTAGTGCTTTCCTTGGATGAGGTTTATCTTTGTTGGCGCTCTTCCCATGGACTCTCCCAGTTATCTTCCTGGAATGTGTGATTAATTATCTTGGTTTGTCTTGGAACTCTCGTCAATGCAGTTTGTTTTTGGTTTCCTTTTGCTTCATTATCTACTTTTTGAATTTAAACTGTGACTAATAAAACAGCGAAGCTAAGTTGAAGGCATTACAAGACCTTGATTCATGTTTTAGTTTTTGTGTTATTTTTGAGACACTGCGGGTCATCACAATGGCTCTGGAATGGGGTGGAAGTGAGGCTTTTGCATTATCATTACTCATATGTAAGTAAGAACCAGTAAAAGAGGAATGGAAAAATCCCTATCTGTAGATCAGCGTTTTTCAGTCTTGGCAAGTTTAAGATGGACAAATTTCATGCTGCCTTGGGAATTCTGGGAATTGAAGTCCATGCATCTTAAAGTTGCAAAAGTTGAGAAGCATGGGTCTACATTAGAGCTTAGGATTTTCCATTCCTGTTTTATTTAGAGTTTGGTGCAATTAAATAAATCAGTTGTGGTTTCCTTAACAAATAGTGATTAAAGCGATATGAACTATTAGTGGACTTTTTGTGAGAAACTGAAATTAAAAGTTGATCTGGGCTTTGATGATTAGATATGGGATTATGGAAGTAATGTAGACAAATGTTAATCTTAGAGTAAGAGTTTGCTTTTTTTTACTTATATCTATACCACATCTATACCATGGAAGTCATTCTTTTTCTGTTTTCCTTCTTTTCCTCTTTCTTTCTTATACTCACTTTTTCTTTCCTGAGCCTTTTCTTTTTTCAAATCTGTTTTTTATTTGTTTATCCCTTAGCTTTGTAATTTTTGATAAATGAAGGATCAAATACTCAGTCATTATAATTCTACATTCCTTATTTACAGAAATCATATCAAATTTTAGAGTGAAATCCACTGGGAGCCATCTCATATAAGGCAGACTC